CCTATGCCTTAGCAGCAGTAGGCCTCTATTCCCCATACACACACAATGATTTTTAGAGGCTGATGATATCCACATTAAGCAGAGCCAACCTTGATTCAACACAAACCAAAACCAAAGCCACCTCCATCTCTGATCTGGCTGCCATCAACAAGGCAGCATTGCTTGGCGGAGGAGGAAGTTGCAGACACATGCTATTTAAATATCACACGAAATGGAGATTAGAGAGACAAATGCCTCCACTCTTAGAATTCCTCAGGCTTAAGTCACCTGTGATGTGTGGTCACTGGGGATTGTCTGCTCACATCAACAGGAATGTTCCTCAACTAGAATTAAAACAGAGAATCTGGCAGGTGAGTGAACTGGAAAGAAATCTTAGGAGGAAGTCTACCAAGTTTTGGATATTATAAACCAGATCTGCTCTTTCAGTTTTCTTTCAGTAATTTCCGTAGCTGTGTTCTGTTCTACAGACTGCTTCTTCTAATAAGCCACACTGAGAGGTACTAATAAATAAAACACAGGAACACCGAGTCTGATTTTCTAATTCTGGCATAAGGTCCCACGTTCTGTTTTTCTGAGCTACTGAAACAATGTAAAAGATAAATAAAATGTGAGCTTGTAGAAGCACGAGTACACAATCTGAATGGTGCACCACTGCAGTCATTTGTTTGAAAGAAAAAACGACCCTATTTTAAGTTGTCTTAGCCTTTAGGCTGGCTTAAATCAAAGAACCAAAATTCTAAGACATGTTTCTAGCCTTTCCCATCTGAACTAGATGGTTCTCTTTTCTCCTTTGTGTCAGTATTTACAGCCACACAAAATGGGAATAAAACCACTGTTTCAAAGGATTCATTTCAGTCAGATCACAGAGCCGACCAGACTTGTACAGCTCCGTGATTATCAGCACCAACACAAACCATGGGTAGGAAGGGGCAGCCAAAGCTGATTCCTACAGCAGCTTTACACTGAAGGAACTGACAGTGATGAGATGATACAGCACAGGTTGTTCAGCAGGGCAGAAGCATCAACTGTCCCCTTTTGACTGCAATAATACACAGCCTAATTGGTTTTTTTTGTTGTTGTTCTTGAGTACAACCAGCATGGTACCAGGCTATCAGGTATCCTAGGCACTAAGAAATGTACAAAAAAAATTTCTGCTCTGTGAAAATTTTATAAATAATAAAAATAAAACAAAAATAGAATAAAAATACATCTCAGATGAATTGATAAAAAATATTCCATTTCTAGGTATTCTGCCACCTTCACTCAATTTAACTCAGAACTTTTATACTGGTGAAAAATATGAGAGAACTGTCATAGCTGTCCCTGTAGAAGAAAATCCACAACTGTGATCAGCACAGGCATGCTGCCCTCATCATCCCCTTCTTAAAGAACCACACCATGGAGGAAAGCATTCTGATTACAGACCTACTCGTAATAGGAGAAGTCTGATAAATAATATATAGAATAATGCCAGCTTGTCTACTGTCTGCAAATGCTCTAATGCATTTTGTACCTAACTGGTAATAATAAATCAAGAGGCAGCACTAAGCTTTACAGTATCCTAAAAGTAAATTTTTGAATCTATTCTCAACTTTACAAAATCTTTTTTAAATAAAAAATTCAATGGGACACTTTTCCTGCACAGAATCCTTTTGTATAGGCTTGTACAAGCACAGTTGCCATCACACTGGCGTTCTTCAATAGCAAATTTTTCACATTAGGCACAGTCATGGAGATAAGAGCACATTTTAGTCTCGCTTTTACTCAAGTTACTTACATTTGGAATTCAGAACAGTCTGCAGCACTGACATTACCTTCTCTTCCCCTCAGAAACACAGCTGTGTAACTAACACAGAGGTTCAAATTAAATTCTTTAGTCTAAAACTTTGCTATTTCATGCTCTTAAAAAAAAAAAAAATCAAACTAACCTTCCACACCACCTGTATTTCCTTCTTTCTATCTACAGTTCTCTCCCTAACATCTTGCCATTCCTTGGGAATTTTTATTTGTATTTGTCCTGTTCTCCAGGATCTCACTCCTCCTGCCCCTATTTCTTTGTCCCTGGTTGTCCTCCATTCTGTCATATGCACAATCCTCTGTGCCTCCTCTTTTACACTATCTACCATCCTTTCTCACTGTGTTTCCACACTCTTTCTTCCTCCATGGATCTTCTCTCCCCTCGTCACTATTAAAACAGGATTGCTCATCCTTCTTTCCCTAAAGGTCCTTCTTCTACATTGACCTTCACTTCCAGTTTTGGATGAAGGTCTATGCCGCTTCTCCTACATGCAGAACACAATTCTGCAGATGGCAGAAGAGAAGGGGAGACAATTCTGAGATCCTCTCCTTCACTCATGTCCCCTGAGCAGCTGGCAGCCACTGCTGTGAAAGACATCACCAGTGAGGAGTTGTTCCACCTTTGTGGTGAGCAGCCAGCTCATTTGCAGGCAAACAGCCAGCTCCCAACTGCCCAAAGTGTGAAGTTCCTATGATCACAGATCATCTGGGATGCCTTTCCTCTCAACACCAGGTGACTCCTCGCCAAATTCTTTCATCTGAGGCACTTACAGCTTGATGGCTGCCAGTGGCTCTGGGAGAAAGTCACTGTGACAGCATTTCCACTTCAGCAGTATGTGCATGAAGCATCTCAGTAAGAAGTGGTATCCACCGCCTTCAAAGAAAAAAAATCAAGTGCTGACAATTAGACCTTGTCTATTTAGCAGGAACTGCCAAGTGCTGAACGTGGTTAACTGCAAGTATAGACAATGATAATTTACGTGCACCATCATTCTGGAGGCTAACTCCACGTTCAAAACTGCATGTATAGGCATGGATAAAATATGATCAGCTCACTTAAACCACATTCAGCATCAGCCAAGGCTTTCTCAGCAGTGGTAATCTTCCAAACAGCATTCGGAGGGTCCACTGCCATGCCCCAAAGGCTGGCTGAACACCTTGGCACTTCTTAAGCCATCTGAACTTCAAAGAGTCCTATGAATCTTAACTAACTTCTCTTAAGTGGAAGAAAAATCTAGAGTTCCGTTTACCTGTGAAAACATAGCATTCAGCTTCAGGCTGAAAGAACAATTAGTTGACACATCAAAAATGCTACATTTTGTATTTAAAAATAAAACAGTTAATTTTGTATCCATTTCCAGCCCTATGTGTAATTCACCCAGACTAAATGCGGATTGAAATTTTAAAAAGGCCAAACAAGTCTGTGCTTTGGTGAAGTCGTAGATCACCAACAGCCAGAACATGAGAGAGGGCTGCAGCACTGTACTGTGGGATGGCTGCAATGGATCTGGAAGCAACTCATGTTGGTCGCTTCCTGCCAATATCACTACCTACAGGTATTTCTGTGGTCACCAGCCAAAGCACGGCAGTTGAAAGATATGCCTTAATCAAAACCTAAGGCGACTCATCTGCAAGCCAGACAACCCCTGTATGTTAAATTATGGAGATGACTAAAGAGAAGTGTCAGACCAACATTTTGAAGTGAGAACAAGGTAGTTTAAGTGGAAGATATGTAAAGCCTAACTTCAAGTGCTAAAACACTCTGCTTGTGAATAATGCATTTCATCAAGCACACGCTAAGTCTTTCTACCATTAAGCTAGCCGTAGTGGGGTTGGAGTTAACCACGCTGGAGAACCTTATCTAAGCAGTACCTAAAAGGATTTACTGGAAGGCCTCCATGCACATACCTGGAGCTCCAAAGTCTCAGTAAGGTTTACCTACAGACAAAATAATTATCTGAATAAACTTTGTATTTTCTGGAGTGTGCTGCATCACCTCTCCCCACGGCATAGGAAGAGCCACATAGCACTTTAATTATTTTCTTCCACAAGGCAGGAAGCTCACTGAGATTTTACAACCAAACATGCTTAGTTGGCTTTTTGTTCAACGCAGCCCTTAGCCTGCAGGTTGCATCTAGTGCTAAAACAAATAAAGATCACAGAAGTTAGAAGTGCCTATTATGTCAATAAAATCCAAATCCCTCGTAATGCAGTAATTGTTCCACGCAGCGTGTTTTCCAGTGCTTTGTCTGGTCTTGTTTTGAACAATGGGGCAACCATCACCTTCCTTGGACTATTTATGGGCTGAACAATCCAACAGTTTTTCCTGATCCGTAACCAAAGTTTCCACCTTTTATGTCAGATACATACGCAAGCCCTCACAAAAACCCTCCTCTGTCAAGTTAAGCATCTCATCTCCATAGAGCCCCCGAGAGCCTTTACAGAAAGCTCAATACCAAGTTCACCCATCGACTCATTTCAGGCGACGGCAACTGACAACTCCCTTCTGCACAGCCTCTGCGTTTTCCCCCAGCAATAAAGGAGAAAAACGCTCAGACAGGATTACCCTGGGATCAAGTAAGTTTTCACACAGAAGCAGCACAGTTCTTATTTGCAAAAAGGGAGGCTCCCACCCAGCTTCATTTTTGGCTGCCTGCTCACACGGTACCACCTCTGTATTTTTTCCCCTGTAGCCTACGACCTGTGCGATTGTTAACACAGCGGCTCGGCTCGATCTGGTCAATAAAACCTAAGAAAAAAATAATTAAAAAGGAACAGGCTCTCTAGATCGGAAGCGGATTTCAATAAAACGGACCTTTTCGTGCCATCGGCACAGGTGACGGAGCCCAACAGCGTCACCGCCGTGCAGAACCCCGCACGCCAGCGGGGAAGAGGCCCTTTATGTAGGTCACCTCGCCCACCCCTCCCGACGCTCAGCGCTCGCCATCTGCTCGCTCCGGGGCGACGCGGCCGCTCCGGGCACCGAGCGCGCAGCACCGGGGCGGGATTCCTCCTCCGCCGCGTTAGGGACCGGGCGGCCCCGCTGCTGCGAGACGCCGCGATGCAGCGGCAGAGCCGAGCAGGCCGCCGGGAGGCACGCAGCGCTCAACGGGCTAGAGAGGAGAATAAACGTAAGGATAAGCCAGCCCGGGGACGGAGGCAGGCGGCGCTCGGGGCGACGTCCCCCCGCCCGCGGTACTCACGTTCTCGGTGTCGCGCTCGTTCACCGTGGGCAATGGAGTCCGAGTGGACATTTTCCCTCGCTCGGGCACCAGCGCTGCCCGCGGCGCGCACTCGCACTCGCACACCACCCCCGGGCCGGGCCGGGCCGCGCTTCTGCTGGGAGGCGTCGGGCGCAGAGAGCCACCATGAAGGACGAGGTGCCGGGGGGCGGCGTCGCTCCGTGTCCCCCCGCCTCCGCGGCCGCGTTAGATCCCCCCGAGGGCGCGGGGCGGCCTCTCGCCCTCCGCCTGCCGCGGGCTCATCCTACGCTCAGCCGGGCCGGGCGGGGGGCTCAGCGGCGGCGCCTCATCGGGCGGTGGCGGCGGGGGAAGGGGACGGCGGAGGGGCTGCCGGGGAAGCGGAGCGGCTCGGCCCGTCTCGCCGGCCCCGCGGCGGCGGAGCGCAGGCCGCCCACCGGGGGGGCTCCCTGCTCTTTGCCCCCGCTTCACCGGGCCGCCGCCGCTCCTCGCATCCCGCCCCGCGCCCCGTTAAGGCCGGCACCCCGCGGGCCGCCGGCGGGCTGGGGAGGCCGACTGCCCGTCCGCTTCTCTTTCCCGTCCTCCCTCCCGCGCTCGCTGCCAGCCGCCCCCCGCCCCTCCGCCGCTCCCTGACGAGCCAAGATGGCCGCCCGGCTTCCTCCGCGCCGAGCCCAGCTCCGACATGAACCGGAAGGGCCCGCCCCGCGCCCGGCCGCGGCGAGGAGGCCGGCGGCGTGTTGCTAGGGGCCGGGCCGGGCGGGGCGGGGAGGAGCCGGGCTCTGCCGCTCCCTGTGCCGCTCTGAGCGGGCTCCTCCTCGGTGTGGCCTCGGGTGGGAATCGGGAGGGGGGTTGGGGTGGCTGGGAGGGCGGGGTGGGTGGGAGCGGTGTGAAGGAGGGGGAATGGACGGGGCGTGAAGGAACGTCGGTGGGAACGTGTCGCTGAATACGAGCCCTCGTCCGCAAAGAGGCTGTGGGGATGTAGGGACGGACCCGCTGCCCGTCTGTGGGGCGAAGCAAGGCTGCTCGCGGTCAGGGAGCCTCACCACTGCGTGCAGAGCGGGTTTGGGCCTTGAGCGTCTTGCTGCTATCCTGCTTCATCCCTGGCTCCAAAGAGGAGTGTGCACGTGTGGTGAGGGCAGCTCACGTGTGCTTAAAGCCTGGGGCTGCTGGCTCTGACCTAGCACACGCAGGCTCCGAGGTGCTGCAGCTCTAAAGGTCACTTGCTGGAGAGCAGAAGCCCTCAGAACGTGCTGCTTCTGCCCAGAAGTCACTGCAGTCAAGAACACAAGGAAGTTCATTGAACTGCAGCACCATTGCAGTTGGAAGGGATCTTTAATGGCCATTTACTCCAACCCCCCTGCAATGAGCAGGAACACCCACAGCTCCATCAGGTTCTCAGAGTCCCTCCGGCCTGACCTTGGCTGTCTGCAGGGATGGGGCACCCACCACGTCCCTGTGCCGCCTGTGCCAGTGCCTCACCGCTCTTATTGTAAAAGAAACATCTTTTTGTTTTGAGTCTAAATCTCCCTTCTGTTAGTTTGAAGCCATTTCCCCTATCCTATCACAGCTTAAGATCTTGATGTAGTCATGAGTGGATCTAATAAGAATAGGAAAAAGAAGTAATCTTTGTGTATTCAATATATAGCTAGTGTATGGGAACTGTTGATCATGGCCTGAACCTCTGATTGACCACCTGAGGCAAGCAATGAGTCAGCCACGGGGGCACAACTGAAGGCAATTCACCTGTGCTACCAGAAGGGGTGGAGCCTGGCTCCACCTCTCCTAGATCCCATTTAAGTGTTACTGCCACTGAGGAAGGTTCTCTTTCTGGAGATTGCTCCTTGTGGGGTTTACTGTGAGCCTTTGATACCGGTGAGTATTTTCACTTATTTTGGTTATCTTTCCATCTTGATAATCTTACTAACCTTTGTACACCTATTGATTGTACAGTTAGCTTAGAAACAGACCTATTTCTGTTATTTTTTTATAGAGAAAAGGCAGAAGAAAATCTCTGCAGAAATAAATGTGGGATTGGATGGAATTTGCAGCAGTTTGTCATCTCTGGAGATCCCGCAGCATAGCGATAACGTTTTGTCTTTCTAAAGCATAGTTTATTTGGCAAACTTCATCTGTCTTATAAATATTTACCAGCTTAGCCTTGAAATCCATCCTGCAATGTAGGTGATATTTTCCTACTTTCAGAGACACTAGCAAGGATAGGTAGCTTCTGAGCACTATCCAATTAAAAAGCTGTTTGTCTTGTTACTTTACTTTATCATCAAGACTACCAAACTCCACACACATAACCAGTAGAAGGAGAAACTCAGTAGACTCATGTCCTTCTTGGTCTCAAGCCAAGCCGATATCTTCCTTTATGTCAGTGACAGGAATTTTTTGGGTAACTTGAAGAATATTTACCCCTTGTTTTTGTGTTTCATAGTATCATTAAGTTGGAAAAGACCACTAATCCAATCATGAACTTATCATGTGTTTGTGTGTGTGTATATATATATATATCCATGTGCACATAAACTCATTTTACATAAGAGCTGCTCTCCTTCCATAGCAGGCAGGACCCTTTGTGCTGGAAACGGAGAGGGGGTTGTGTCTCTCTGATGTGTCAAGGTCAGTCTTAGCAGAGCCAGGAGTACCCACATCTCCTGGCTTGCTGCTTTTGCCACATGGCTGCTTCTTCATTTTCGGCTGCCAGCAGAAGGTGTTCTTTACAATTTGTTTATAAAGAATGGTAACTGACTTATGATAGAGTCAGAAAAAGTAAAAATAGGTAGAAGTTTACTTTAGTTGTTAACCAGATGAATGCTTTCATCCTGCATTGGTGGGAACTGCAGCTGACATGGGAGTGCTGAACTGCCAGCACCAAAGCCTGGGAGTGATTTTCAGAGTGTGTGTTGAGTTCCCCTGTGCTGTTTGTATGTACAAACATACATCAAGTGACACTGAAGTATAGGGCTATACAAACTTGCGTTGTTATTCTGGGGTGCAGATAAATCCAAACTATCCCATTATATGTGGTCAGGTGAAACTCCTAGGCCTGTCCATCCAATAGAAGTTCTGTTATTACTTTGGGTAAAGCCCACATTTAACATTGCCCAAACTAAACAAAGCTGAGAGCAGGTGACAAAGGAGGGGAGGCTGTGGGGAAAGGAATGCTTGTTTGTTTCAGAGTGATGTTTTTGACTGGCAAAGTGATGTTGAAGCAAGAACTTTTGAAGAAAGTGCTTGAGACCACAAAAAATAACAGCAGCTCATTTTGTTGTTTTATCACCAGTAATGGGAAACATTGATTTGTGTTGGCAGTTCCATGCAGCAAAACCTGCACAGGGGATAACAAACGACAGAGCAGCTGCTTTATTGTTTCATTTAATTCTGGCTATATTCTGTTTCTCATGTTCAGACAGGTGAAGCATATAAATTTTCTTAGAACTTTAGACGTACTTTAAAAAAAAAAAAAAAAAATTGCATGGGTTTCTTATTTCTTTGTTGCCCGTAAGTATTCTGTGTAATATCAGGTACTACTTAAGCTGCATTCATAATCAGAAGATGATTTTTTCCCTATCTATCTAAAGGTTCTGAAAACTCAGGAATCTGATAATCCAATTGTATTTTCCTAGTTCTCTGTGTGCCATCACAGGCGATAGTGACAGTGGAACTCCAATGACAATGTTTGCACATTATCCAGGATAAGATACAACTTGTGCTTCGAGCTGCACAGCCGCTACAGTGCTAACACTTGTAAAAACTTGTTTTTGTCAGCGGATCTGGAGAATATGACTCAAAGACACACAGGAAGCAGCTTAGTTAAGGTGCCGTTTTTATGTCAGTTTTTTGGCTATCGCCACACACAGAAAACAAAAGAAAACAATATGATTCAAAACAACATCATTATGATGAAGCATTTCAATTTTTTTTTCTTCTGAATGCTAAAAGTTGCAGCAGTCACTAAATCTCTGAACAGTACATTGCACATGCATAGTAAATACTAACTTTAACATTGTGATCAGAGCAAAAATGATGGAATTGATTAAAAATGCTGGACGGAATGTAAGGATTAATTTTAAGTTATTCAAATGTGTGAGGTTTCAGTCTTAATTCTGCAAAAAGGATTACATATGCAGAATTGACTTAGGTAATTATATTCCCCTCACCTCGCTTTAGAGGCTGAGGACTGGAAGACATCAGCTGGTAGAGGCAAGTAGAGGATCAGCTAATGTAATTGGTAGAGCTGCCTCATCCTGCTCTGCAGCTATGACAGAATACACCACCTGGGAATCTGCTGAAATATGAAATCATTTTCATTTACACAAAAATATCAGTTTAGGCTGATAATTATTAACCCTGATGTCACTTGTGTTTCTTCAAGCCTTTACAAAATGCATTTTAAAAGCCACAGTAATGTACCTAGTATTATTCCTCCTTATTCTAATATCTTGTTGTTGTTAGGTGATCATTATGGTCCTTTTCAACCCAGGTCATCTCATGATTCCATGATTATGTGAAATTCTAAAATAATTCCATGCAGTGAATGGTTTTAAGAACCATTTCATCATCAGGGTTACCTCTGAAACTGATATCATTATTTGTATTTGTGTTTCAAATTTTAAATTCCATAGAATATATGAAAACTTAACAGTGTTTTATGATAGGAAGGAGAAATGTGTGATTTCAATAATGGTGATGGAAAAGCTATTGATAGAAAAGTACTGTTTACTGTCTATGAGCTGAATCAATAGTCCCTGCTCATATGATGAGGCCCAAGTGCAACTCTGCAAGGCCAGGCTGACATGTGGTTTTGACAGCAGAGAAAACAGTGGAAAGAGAAAAGATCTTCCTTCTCAATGTTGTATCCATGCTGTCATGCCAACATGGAATGAGATCCAAAAGGTGGGATGAGATTTAATGTGTTAACTTCCTCTTTTCATCCATGCAGTTTTCACTTCCAATCTTGCCTTTCCCCTCAGGGTCTTTGGGGACGGCAGGATGGCTGTGGCAGTGCAACTGCTCATTGTTTCTCAGGCATGAGAGAGCTCAGGCACTGGGCTGTGAATATGAGAAAATAGGAGTGAGCAGTAGTGGCTTCTGGATTGCAAGCTTCGTGTAATTCCTTACCTGTTGGGCCAGACAAGCGGTGCATGGCAGAGCCATGTAGCATAATGTGTGAGAGGTGAACCTTCATGATGGGATTGCTGTTCAGTGCATGAACTGCACTATTTCCACCACTGTTTCCATCTGCATGGCTCGTGGGGTGTGGGGCAGAATCACACTGCTCCTAGGAGCTGGGTGAGAGTGTTGTTCTGGTGGGTTGGCGCTGGGTCAGTGTTGTGAAAAGCGAAATGAAAATACCTCCTTAGCTTTCCATAAACCTGATGCCTTGCGGGCTATGAAAGAAACACAAGGAGAAGCAGTCAGTTGGCAGCCATGCTCTGAACTTGACCCTATGTTTGAAGCTAGCCTAGGTGTTTTATAACAACCTCTTCTATTCCTGCTAGTGCATAACCCCAGCAGGGCTGCATCTTAAACACAGATCCGTTCGGGTGCCTTGCCATCTGAGTCAGGCACGTTACTGTTCCTCCTACACTGTTTCCTGTGTGGTTAATACTGAATCAAAGACTCCATTCACAATGATGGGGAAAGAATAGATGACTCCAGCACACGTAATATTTTCAAGTGCAAATTAATAATTGGTGTGCCTGAGTGTCAGCGGGAAGCAATTGTTTGGTAGCGGGGAGATGAATCCCAGGCTTTTTGGGCACAGGTTATCTAAAAATGAACAAGCCCACGCTTGTTCAAAAAGGAACATCTAAAATTGTCGACAGGCTAGTGGAAAGTACGCAGCTCAGCTGAAGTTCCCAGGGCCCACAGTAAGCCCCAGGGGCTGGGTTTTGCCAAAGAGATTTAAATTCTGGAGGCTGTCATTAAAACGAATCCTATTCAATTCTCTAAGTGTTAGCATGCACACTTTTCTCTGATTCGTTGACACCTTATCAGTCTGTTTCTGCCATGGATACCAGACATGAGCATGGTATTCCAGCTGTAATAATGCAAAACCAAAATACAGGTGTGAAATAACTTATTTTGCTGATGCCACAGTTGAAGAACCCATTTAGCCCTTTCAGATACAGTAACTGAACTCTGGAAATTCATGTTACTGTGACTCACGTGCCCTTTCAATATCACTGACCTTCCCCTCCATGCAGAGTCCCCCATCTTGTAAGTACGCTTTCTTTTTCCTACAAGCAGAATTTCTAACTTTGGCCATATTAAAATGTGTGTCACTTACCTAAAATTTTGCAAACAGTTTTGTTCTGCCTCAATGCCATCTTTTAATTTTCAATCCTTTCTCCATTCTGGGGGCAGCTGCAAGGCTTATTGGTCAATCTTTCTGTTCCTTTATGGCCCTTGATACAGATATGCATTGGTGCAAGCCAAGAACCAGATGTGCTGGGCTATAGTCCTGCATTATGTTTTTCTGCTGATAAAAAGTTGCTACCTTGAATGTTCAGAAAACACACGGCCTGGGGTGGGGAAAGGCTGGAGGGAGAATAACTGAGAGAAAAAAACAGGTGGGGGTTGAGCAAAAGATGGGGTGCAAGGACTGAGGTGTCAAAACAGAGCTGGGGGCTGCTGAGCAGACAAGGGGTCCCAGCACCCTTCTGGGACACTGCAGTGCTGCAAGGGCGAGCAGTTTGATGCTTGATGAATGTCACTGTGGTTTCCATAGCTCTGGTTTCTCAATCAACATGTTCTGCTGCAACAAGTTGAGGGCCTTAAAGGAGTCACGGTGTTTTTCATCAGCTTTCTTATCTTTATCTCTCAATCTTGCATGCTCCTCTAAATGATAACAAGTCTGTTAGAAAGGGTCTCTTCCCATAAAATCCAGTTGATTGGCATTAATTACATTTCTCTCCCTTAATTCTTTGTTAATCGAGATCCATATGAGTCATTTCATTATATTGCTGGGACTCGTGTCAGAGACAAGCCTCTAAATAGTCATATCTTTCTTTTCCCCTTTGCTTTCCTTTGGAGCTTCCCCAGAGCCCAGAAAGTCACCAGTGGCTGCACACATCTTCTGCCTTGCATTGATGTGTGAGGGAACACATCTTTGATAATTACCTGACAAAGCCAAGCACAGGTTAGATTCTACTGAAGCAAGGGGGGTTCTGAACAAAGAATTGATGTTACAGTCATGAACAACATTTGCAAATGCACAGGAAGATGTACTTTTCCTGTTCATGTTCGAATTTCTATATTACAATATAGTGCTGTAACTACAAAGGATCTTTTAAAAATGTGTGCATGATGTAAAGAAAAAGATTTATGGCAGACCAGGTACAGACTGCACAGGACTGAGAGTTTTGGTGTACTGTGCCCAGCATGGGGCTTCACAGCACTCTTGCTCTTCTAGCACTAAACCACCTTTTGCTTCTCATTCTCCTCAAATGCTGACAGCAACCCAGGAAATGAAGAAACATCCCCACCGTTACAGTAGATATGTAGTAACATCATCACTTTTTTTTTTTTTTTAAGTTTCAGAACATCGAGGAGATGACAAATGCATAACGTATTTGGGCTTGTTTCATAGGAAAAGATGAGCTGCTGATTTGAGAATGTCTGATAGGAGGTCAACAGCTTCAAATTGAATTGGAAAAATATCAAATTAATGCTGTTGCCACAATCCTGATTAGAATTCACATCACACAAGAACATAAAAACACTTTTAGAGAGAGAGAGAATGTTTTATCATCCAAGCACAGCACTGATTTCAAGATGCATAGAAGAAAAGAGCAAAATGAATTAGGAGTGTTTTACTGTTACTGAAATAAAAAGCAGCAATTGAAAATGAGGACTGTCCCTCAAATACACACAGATAATAACCACAACCCCTGTATCCTCTCACGAGTGTATTAATCTGTAGAGGTGTTGGAAGGCACTGGGGAGGATAGGAACCCCCTGCTGTGCTGCAGCGAGCACACCTGAGCAGGGCATGGTGCTGGTGCTCCCAGCCTCAGGTTTGGAGCAGTGGGACATCCTCAGCCCCAGATAGTGCAGGCTGCAGCTCTGTGTATGCCTAGGCAGGAGTGCCAGTCACAGCACAGCACCCCTTTGCTGGTGGCAGTGAGCGTTTCAGGATTAGCCCTGTGGTCTGCATGAATCGCACGGCTCTGCGTGCCTTGCTTGAAGTGCTCGGCACAATATAAACCTAATACATGAATAATTCCTTCTGGCAGTGAGGTCTGTGCGTGCTGCAGGTATTCTCTGTAGAGAAAATCTACCTCTGGCATAGAACTGAAGAGTTTTCTGTATATCTTATATCAATTTTCTTTTTACACATTATTCGACTTTGCATGATTTATGGGCAAATGTGATTGCAAATATATTACCTTAATTACCATTCACTGCTTTTCTTCCCTTCACTCTCGCCCTCCCTTGTTTTAGCCTGCTACTTCTCCTGGGACGTGGCTGACCAACCTTCCCTGTCAGCATCCAGAAGTACACCTCTCCCACAGGAGAAATCTACCATCTACCTCCACCTACCTCCCCTCTCTGCAGCAGAGCAGTAAGTCTTGCTAGCAGGACTTACCCTTGCAAGCATAGGATCCCACTGAGCCTATAAATACTTCCTCTCATTGACCAGCATTGCCAACCATAACATTCCCTTACCCATTTATAGGAGGTGCTGCTCATGGCATTAATATGACCATTAACACCCTTACTGTTTCTCCCACTAACATCTTGTGCCTATAAACAAGTTTTCCTATTTTCTGGTCATTCTGGTCTTACTGTGTGCCTACTTCAGCTTGAGCCACCTGATCTCTGAGGAGATGATCTTTTAAATGCTTCTGAAAACATTCACAATCGTTTTAGATTTTTCAAACTGATTTTGAAAAGCAAAGTGATGTTGCTTTGAGAAATTTGGCGGTATGACCTTTAGTGCTTTAGAAACCTTCCATATTTTTGTTTGTTTGCTTTTTTTTCAGTAACGATGTGGAAAAAAAGGAAGAAGAGAGAATCAAATACCCATGAAGATGAGCAACCAGTAGTTGGAATATCAACCTTTTGTAGGAGTTTTTGAATAAAGGAGAGATTCCTCTCTCTGGAAGTCAGCAGAATGAAAGGGACTTTGCAAATTTTTGGAAATTCAGCAAATGTTTGTTCCTATTTTCAAACAATTTTGTTGAAAGCACTTTTGTTCATCTACAATAGCCGACGGAGTGGCTTCAGCCTCTCCAAGGCAGCGCTGGGAATAGCGTGCCTCTTTGCAGTGCGTGGTGCTTGTGGGACAGCTGCAGTGGGGCTGGGGGTGGCTGGGGACAGCAGGAAAGGAAGAAACATTTGGGACAGAAGGGAAGATCTGACAGACAGGAAAAGCACACGGGTCTGAGGAATGGGGAAATGGCTGATGGAAAAACACCCAAACACTGACCCTGAAGAATTTTCCTTTTGAATAACTTCATTCCTCTCATAAGAAGGAATGAACCAAGAGCACCTACACAGGGTGTGACCCTTGATAGTTTAACTCTGAGTTCTTATTTTCTAATGTTGACTGCCTTCAGCATCCTTCATCTGACCTGCCAGAGCACTGGTCCCCAGGGGATGATACTGAAGGACCAAGGCATCTGCTGCAACCACCTGAGACCAAGCCTGAGCTCACCTGGGCCTAAGTCTGACTGCAGTCTGTGGAAAGGGGACGTTTGGAGGGCATACAAGGGCCTGGGCTGCCAGCTTTTCAAAAGAGAACCAGAGATATTAAAATCAACTTCTGAAGTATTTGTTTCAAGGCGGTGAAAACATGTTGTTGCCATCCACTGGCTGCATGTGTGTCATATACTGCCACGTCCTGTAATTGCCAGTGGTTCCATGTCCTCCATGTTCCATGTCCTCCGTGAAGATGCAATACAGACCCCAGTTCAGGGCATTGGAAATGCATGCTCTGCAGAGAGCAGCACTGCTGAAAAATGCTATGTAAGAACCTATATACACACATAAATATATTTATATCCCTCTGCGTGCGTACATAACCTTGCTGTCTTTGCTATAGACCCTCCTGCTACCTGCAAGTATCACATGCATACCCCTTGGGAGCCCATGGGGGCTGTACTGTATAACAGAGGGGGATTTATCACCTTCTCTAATACCTAAGGAAAAGTCTAATACTATTTTGTAAAGTACCGCACTGTTTTTGGGCTCAGCTCTATTGCTTTTAATATTTTATACATGTGAATATGATGTACTGCAATGAAAATACCCTTACATCTTTTTCCAGTAAGTGCATCTATCAAAACAAGGAGCGATGTCAAATGATAGAGAGGAGCTCTGGGTCTGGAAGGCACAAGAAAATGCATAAAAGATGAAGCTCTATTTATGTTGCTCGTGCATGCAAAAAAAAGAAAAAGAAAGGAGAAAAAGAAAAACCCAACAACCCTCCTACGTTAAAGCTCTCAAAGCTACAAAGTAAATCAGCCAGCATGTGGCTTCTGTGCTTGTGCATTAGGATCTAGGCTTTAATTACAGATCCCATTGCCTTTGCAGAGAAATCCCCTTTGTTTAGCTACTGGAGCTGGTAAGGCTGAGGAAGAGTGAGGGTGCAGGGGACTTGTTCCTGGGGCACAGGAACGCTTTTGGACCCAAATCTTGCCTTATTTCTGTTCCCCAGCTATACCGCCTCGTGTCATCATAGCTGGGCTTAATCCAACAGCAGCCATGAAGTCCTGTGACACTGAAGCCAGAGGGAAGTTTGTGTGACCAGCTGTAACCACAGGGCAGAGCTGGCACGTTGGGCAGCTTGGAGAACAGAGAACGGAAAATCACAGCACTGTTCATGGGGATGTGCTGGTGGTGCTGAGCTGAAGCCGGTGTCTCTACTAGGAGCAATATGCATGCATTAGCACAATGGAGTGGGCTAATTTACCCTAAGCTCAGCAGTTAAACTGCTTTAGGGCTCACAGAGGGCTACTTCAGGTCTCTCTTCAAGCCAGATTTTTGCTTAGCAGTTATTCTGCAGGTGGGCGCCATCCATTTTGTGCTCAGTGAGGAGCCAGGGTAGGGAGCCTTGGGGAAATAATGAAATGAGAAACATGCAGAGGCAGCCTTCCTCCTGCATTTCCTAACTTCAGAGTGGCTGACTTGGTAACCTCAGTCTTCTTGAGGCCACTTGCATGCGTGGGCACTGCTGGGCTACAGGGAAACAAACAACATTAGGGATTTGTCCAGGGAGGCTGTGGATGCCCCATCCCTGGAGGCATTCAAGGCCAGGCTGGATGTGGCTCTGGACAGTCTGGTCTGGTGGTTGGCGACCCTGCACATTGCAAGGGGGTTGAAACTAGATGATCATTGTGGTCCTTTTCAACCCAGGCTATTCTATGATTCTGTGATTCTATGATGGGAATGGGGCACAGCTGGAGCACTGAGACCATCACGCAGAAGCACGATGGAAGCCAGCATGGGGATTGTCACAGCAGAAGGTTGGCATCCTCAGCATCTCAACCAACACAAGATATGGGACCAACAGACTTCAGCTGACAGCAGAGGAGAAGTGCAGATGGGAGTATTTTTTTTTCACCCCAACTACCGTGGATTGTGCAGAAGCTATCCACCTTCATTCCCATGCCCTCTGTGTCCCTCCTCTCCTTTCCTGGCTCCTTATGCCACCTTTCCATTCTCGATCCAGCCCACCACCACGAGGCAGCTGGCAGTCAGGGTATGCTCATGTGGATCCATTCATCAGGGCCGTGCCAGCATAGCTGCTAGAACACCGTGTGTGGGTCATTCTGCCTCGTTCATCCCAGCAAACAGCTGGCTGGATCCTCCTCACCACATCCCAGTGTTGGCTGCACTGGGCTCCCAGCTGGGAGCTGGAGCTGTGCGTTGGAGTGGGCACTTCTGCTGCTTTCCACCTGGCAGCTTTCTGGCCCTGCAATTCACTTTCCTGAGGAGACTGAATGGTCTTGTGGGCTTGTAAGCATTTTGTAACTTAATAACAGGTCATATTAATTCATCTTTTTGTGTTCTGTCTTTACTCCTTAGAAAGATGGAAATCATTTTTTAAAAATAAAACATTGCATATGCTGCGTGTGGGAAGTGGTGATTTCTAGCTACGGACTGAGGGGGCAAAAGTGTGTAATTTATAACTGTATCATAAATAATGAGTCTGATGCCTCTGTTACTGTGACTTTACACCAGTCTAAAAGTGGAGTCCGAAGCTGAGAGTCAGCCCTAGTATGTAATCCCTCCACTGCAGAGCAACTGAACACTGGGAGCTGGATCCTTGGCAGGCACAAACAAGAAGAGTTTCATTAACTTTGTGTTTCCTTTCTGCTAATGAGCCAGGCTGTGGATCCTCTGACTCAAACCGAGCATTTTTTGCACCAGGAGGTAGGCTGGGGTAGGTGTGGAGCCCTGGATAGGAACCAAGAGCTGGCAAGACACCAGGAAAATATCTGCTCATCTTCACTGCCTTCGGTGCAGCTATTCTAACTTGTCCCAACCGATGATCTGTCCCTGGAGTCACAAGGAGCATTTGAACAATGCTTTCAAACACGGGGTTTGGATTTTGGGTCGCCCTGTGCGGAGCCAGGAGTTGGACTCGATGATCCTTGTGGGTCATTGAGGTGGCTGTGTGCAGCCCCGCGGGCTGCCTGTCCCACGGCTGTGTGCCTCTCTGGGAGCGTGCACCAGGGATGTGGGAGCTGCATGCCGCAGCACGGCGTGTGAGTCACCCAGGGTACGTGTCTTACATAACCCTGCACACGTTTTTGGAGCATGCTGCAGCTGAAAGGGCTGCCAGGAGTCCTGACAGGGGTGGGGAGGAGCAGACGGAAGATAGCAAAGGCTGCTTTTCCTTTGCCCCCTTAAGTATGACCCCTCTGGTGCAGGAGACCACACATGGCTGGAGGCCCTGTGGTGTGTAACCTCAGCTGCTCTGGGCCAGAGACTTCACTGCAGTGCCTGGTCCAAACCTGAGACCTTCACTGACAATAAATGAACCTCTGAGCCAATGTCCTCTGCTTCCAACCTGTCTCTGCCCCAGAGTTCCACAGAACACAGGTGAGGGTCATTCCAAGCAATGGGCTAAACTGCCAGTGGCTTCAACTTCAGACTGAATACATTTTTATAATAACCCTCCTGCACTGTGCTCTCTGTCTCATGGTGCAGTCACCGGCTGCATTTTCACCAGTGAATACTGATTTATGAAAGGCAAAGTGTTGAATGGCTCCAGTTCAGCTCAGCTCCCACCCAGCAGCCCTCCTGGCTCCAGGAGGGACTTTGGAACAAACCCAGGGCCAGAGCAGTGCAGAGCTCCCACTGTGCCCAGACTGGAGCAGGGACTTCATGCCATCCTCACAGCCTGCTCAGCTGTATCACGCTTGCAGGATTTTAGGATGGAGGTTGAAACCCACAGGGGAGGTTCCCAGTGGTGCTTCCTCCAGGTGTGTGCACCCTAAGCAGCACCTTCCCTGCAGAACTGATAGGAGACCAAGAGAAGCCCCTCTTCTCACAGTCCAGGTGCTGCTGCCATGCAGCTTGCCTCACTGCAGGGCTGGAGCCACAGTGTCTCCTCCCCACTGAGCAGTGAATCTTTATTTGGTACACGAGTGTCAACAGGTGTTGTGAAGAGAAGAGGGACGAGGGGATATGGGTGCAGCTGGAGGAAGTATTTATAGCTGCCTTTTATAAAAAACATATAGCTCACATCTCCGTTAACGTATGTAACGCAATCGGGAACCTGAGCTTTTCATGATCCCCTGGCTGCAGGATTTCCTGTGGAATCCTCTACCGGCCGCAAAAACAAGCTAAAAATAAATGCATTAAAAATGACACACATACTGAAACCTGTGCATGCCTTTGCCTCGTTGCTGGATGGTGAATTGGGTGGCAGCAATGGGAATGGGGAAAGAAAACTGGAGAACTCCATAATACCTGGGTTGGTGAGGGTTGAAGTCCCCAGGCAGCTCCAGTTGTGCATGGGTAAGAGCATCTGCTATGGACAGGAGTTCAGCCCCCCACAGAAAGCTGAGCTTCGAGCCCTCCAGTCAACCCAGGATGCCATGATAGATGAATGCAGCCTCTTCCCCTTGCTGCTGCTCCCAAGCCGTTTCACTGCACGGCTTGCAGTTTGTCCTTACAGAAGCTCCTGACTGCTGCCATCCACTACCACTTTGGCTTTTTTGTAGTATTAGGCTGACTTACCATATTGCAGTGGCACCTGCAGGAGTGTGGGCTCTTTGGAGTGCAAATGGGGATTTCTGTTGCTCTCCATGAAAACTCTCTTCCCAGCAGGGCGTCTTGTGTAGAATGAGCTACAGAAGGAGTGATTTGGAGTGATTTTTAAGCAGTACCAAGAGCAGGGAAACAACTGATTGAGAGAGAAATGGCTTCACCCTTTCTTTTCTGATGGGGGTTGAAGGCTGTTGTCTACCCAGGCTCTTGTTGTCAAAGGCACGAAGCACATGTAGCTGCAGGGAGGGGACTGGACTTACTCTGTGGCTGCCTTCAGGCAGATGCCAAGGGATCAAGGAGGTGGCAATTCCCAGAAATGCTCCCTGCTTGTTCCCAGGGAGCTGTGGCAATGGACAGTGAGGCAGCGTGAGTTCCCCCTCTTGCTTGTCCAAGGTTTGGAGTGCAAAGTTGCCTAAGCTCACCCCCTGCTGAGGGCAATTCCTGCATTCACAAGAGCAAAACTGAGAAGAATCAGCCACAGAACATCCCTCCCTTGGGTTGATAAACTCCAAACAGTGCCAGGAGCCCTCAGAAATGCATGATGCTATCAATACTGATGGGAAGGGAAACAAAAGAATATTTTTCAGGGCTGGATTAGGGTTTTTTTGAATAAGAAAGACAGACTGGAGTCACTGTGTGGCATTGTGCTGCTACAGACATAGCCACATCAAAGTCCTTTCCCCACCTTGGCTGGATACACTAGGCATGATCCTGTCCTCATACGATTGCTGGGGTTATTTTTCTCTGGGGTTAACCATGAAGGTCCTCAGCCCAATCTCCATCGTCCCTTAAATCCATTTGCTTATGAAATTGGAGACAACCTGCTAGGGAAGAGAAGACACCAGTCCTTCTCCTTGCCCAGGAGATGGTCCCCACCCCAGGGTAAGCTTATGCTTCACTTTTGTTTGTATGCTTCATTTTTTTCTGCAGAAAAGAGGAAGGTCTGAGCTGTCTTCAAGGAAGACTGCAGATACACAGGGAGGGGAAAAAAAAAGAAAGCTATTTCTTTGGAAGTCATTTTCTCTTAAGAAGTTCTGCCTGCATTTTTTATTAATAATACAACACCCTGGATGTGTCAAAAAATATGAAAATACATTTCCTGGTGGGAGCTCCAGTCTCACAGACCCTGGCAGTACGGCTGGGTTGTCATTTGCTTCTCAGAATTTCATTTCCTAATCAACACGTCTCTGAAATCACTGTGTTTTCAAAGTCTGGCTTCCACAGCTGCTGTGATCAAAGCCGGGGAGGTGGGGCAGAGTGGGCAGGGGGAACCACGCTGTCTCCATCAGCGGGAGAGGGAGGAGAAAGCCCACGTAGCAGAGAGAGCTGAGACAAAGGGGTTTGATGTCCCCACGTGGGTCTAATATTTCAGAGGCAAATAGGAAAATAAGGATCTAGAGACCCATCCCTCGACTCTGGCATCCAGCTGGTCTCCACTTGAGGTATTTTTTCCTTGATATTTGAGTTTCTTGGCTAGCAAGAGGCAGAGGAGCAGGGGCTCTGTCAAGCTGCCACGATGGCAGCCCTGGGGAGTGCCACGTGCAGGGAGCACCCAGCTCCTGCAGATGGCCAGGATGGGAGATGAGGGCGAGTCAGCCCTGCCCACACAGCCAGCCCCACAGCTATCATGCCATGCCGAAATACATTGAAATCACTGAATTAGAGTTAGACTAGCAGGTTTTGCTTCTCTGACACTGGCAGGGCTATAAATTCAGTGCTCTGACAGCACCCAAAAGCCCTCCCTGGAAATGCAGGCCATGCTTGTTTGCAGAGAGCTTAGAAGGACATGAATTAAAAAAAAAAAAAGCTTTTAAATAAAGATACCAAACCAAACACAACCCAAATAACCCTGCCGTCTCCATCTATCATGAAGAAGGATTATCCTCCCATTTCCCAGAGCCTCACAAAGACTCCACTCGCTGCCACCTGAAGGCTCTGCCTGTTCTGCAGGATGCAGCTTCCCTGCTGGGCCTGCCTGCCCTCACAGCCGGGTG